AATTAATACTAGGTATATAGTTTAAAATGTATTAAAATTAAATCTCACAGATATTTTTAAGGGGTTTAATATAGGCAATTTTAATACATTTTTGACAACATTTGAAAACAAATCTATAACTCAAAGTAACTGGCAGGAGGTCCCAAAGTACACATTTTACAAAAATGATAGGTCAACATTACTGAGAGCATCTCATATTCTCATATCGTTTTTTATATTTTTGCGGCCTACGTATTTTAGAACATTTCAGGATGTATTATCATCAGGTTATTATTATTTTCCTAATATTTCCTAATTTTCTATTGGTATTTGGTAGGCAGAGATTTTGAAGCACAATGCATGGTTACAATAATGATTACGATGCGAAACTTCTACGTTCGACACAACTTGAAGCATTGATTATAATCGATTACCTGGTTTTAAAATCGTCGAAAATTATATTACAAAATGATTACTGTTTTTTAAAAATTGTCGGTAACGTCCATCGTCTATCGTCGGATAATTTGTCCATCGTCGGAAATGGCACAACACCCTACGAGGGTCTATAGTCACTGTATATAGTGCTCGTCCTGAACCTCGAAAAAAAAAACGTTCGATGAACAATATATTTTGTTTACAATACGTTTTGTGGGAATTCCTAAACCTGACTCCACTGACAGTTGTATCGCAGCTTTTACTTTTCCTTTCTTACGACTATCCTGCATGCGTATATAGGCGAGTGAAGTGAAACATGTGCCCAACACCCGGTCACTGTTACCAGTCATTCGGTATAAGGTACCTAATTTTTTTTACACGTATTGTGCGTTGTTAGCATTATAATATATTATATTGTACCTTTTTATTACCATAGACATCGTGTCTGGGTGGGCCAACTGCAGTATAATAATAATAATAATAATAATAATAATAATAATATTATGTGCCTGATACGTTTTAGGTCGGTCTCTGCAGGGTATGTAGATCCCATCTCGGCAGACGCCACCACTGTTTACAATACTTCATAAATATAATACTATATAGGTACTATAATAAATTATATTAGTTTAGCTTCAGACAATGATTTGTGTTTACATTACACATATACAATGTAAAATGTTACATTATACGTATATTATAACGTGGTTACAAACAATAAGCAGATGAGTAAAAACATATGTTATAGTAATATATATTACTTATATTTTACACACAATATTGTTGGGTTTTCAACGAGTAAACTACGATAATTTTATTTTATGGTATTGTATAATATTGGTGGAAATCGAGGGGGTGGGTTCAGTCCCCTTAAAATACTTTCAAGAGTCAAAATAAAAGTAATATTTTCATTTATGGACTATATAAGTACTTTGAATATAATATATTCCGAGTAAATATTTTATTTGTAATGTGTTAAAAAAAATTCTCATTTTCAACGAACTGCTTGAGTAAACGACATCGAGTCCGGTATTTTGTTAAAAATCAATTACGAAAAACCACAGTCTACAATATTGAATAGAATGATATTTAAAAAATATTAATATATCCTAAAGAAAAGTAGGTAGATACCTATCTATAAAACTAGAAAATAGAAACCATTAAAGCAAGATTTTCCTAGCATAATTTTACCCCAGTTACTTTTGAGTAAAAAATGTAACGTTACGCATTACTTTTGAACTTGAGTAACTAACAAGTAATCTAGTTACCTATCTTATTTTGTATCTTAGTTACTTTTAAAAAGTAACTAAACTAACCCAACACTGTCATTTCGTGTCCACTACCTATTACACGTCTGAGTTTTATGAACAATATTTGAGTTTTGCACAAAAAATTATTGCCGATGAATCATCGTGCATGTCACTATAAATTTATAGGAAATTCTTATTTTGTGTTTTGTATTACGGTATTTTTCACAGAATATTTCAATGACGACCGAATAACTAAAGTAGGTTAATAAATAGTAAATAATATTATTATGTACGGTACCGCCGTTATACCTATCTTAATCTTATATCATTAATTTTACTATAGGATTTTACCAAACATTATTCTCAAAATATCCAATAATTGAATTGCACACCTACCTATCGTACCCATATAGTTTTCGTACCTTTTTTATCTGCAGTATAAATTGTATAGCAAATGATTAGAACATCGGAAATACGAGTGATGCAAGTGGCGGCCCATTGGCATCAAATAAACCTAAGTGGAGTGGCTAGAGAATACTTTCTTGGCAGTACCAGTACCATAATATAATATGATACAATTTAATTTTTTTAATATAAATCATAATAATTTATGATATGGATAAAATAAATGCTAAATTTAGTAATCCGCATTGAACAAATAGTTCCACGTGCTTTCATAATTTGTATGGACATTTTTTTTTAAATTGTCAAATACGAAATAACTGTCTGTACCACCATTTAGATCAAATGTCGATCGTTGATGCAATAACACGATTATAATATTAAAATGGAACTTCATAAGAAATAAATGTATAAAAAAATAAATTTCGTTCACGTTATTTTTGATATAATTGAATGAGGTTCACGTGTCACTTACAAAATATGTAGGTACGCAATGAACAAGCGCTTTTAATGTTTTCGTATAAAACTTTTTTTTAAAAAAAATAGTAGTTAACACTTTATACCTTGTTAACAGCCCACCCCGACTAACACATTCGCACTCTTGTCTATATAGCCTAGGTACACAATATTATGGAATGTCGCATGTAATATGATAACATTGAGCTAGTTATAGACAATAATATAATATTATTAATAATAATTATTATCAATCCACTGTCGTCGGTAACGCATAAAATTGTCGATCAGCAAATTCTATGGGTGCGGCTGAGCGTCCGATCGTCCGTCGTAATAACAATATATATAATAATATCATAATATTACCTGCAACAACCATAATCCAATTAATACAATATGCGGGCCGATAAGCCGATAAACGATTATTACTGATTGGGCACAAGTCGACCATAATATCATATCTGCCATGTTTATTCAGCATTTCGGTCGCTTAACCTACAAGTCGCCAATATTGTGATCGAAAATTCTTACACCACGATATTGCCAGCTGGTCAGCTAAGCTTTGGAAGTGTACCCATGGACACGTGCTCGTCGTTGGGCATTTTTTCCACTCTTAAAAACGAAATCGATCGAAAGTGAAGCCACTCTTAGAGATAAATCTACCAGATACGACGATATTATAGATGCAACGAGGTGAGTACGACAACGACTGTTTCGTCTACATAATAATATTTGAGTGGACACCGCACGCGTTGTCTCCGCCGCCTTACAAACGCATAAACAGTTTTTTGTTGTTGTAGCTTTAAGATTACAGTGAATTATCAAACTTAAAGGTAAGAATAACATACCTATAGATCATCTACTACAGTCTTTTACGGATATTTTCATTTTAAAATTCATTGTAACTAGGTACCAATTATATTGTAGAATATCGTAAAATGTTACAAATTTAAAATTCTCGTTTTAAAATTAAATTAATCAACGAAAGCTTGCCATATGAATTTAAAAAAAATCAATAAAAGCTGACCACGGTCCACGAGCCCTATGGACAATGCGATTATTACTTTTAAGTTTGATAATAATATGTCGATTCGCATTTCACTCTTATATTAAAAATTTAAAGTTAACAACACACAAGTAGGTACGTTCGTAAGAAACGGGCAATTTCGGTGGACCGCTCAAGAAACGGGCTGGCATTATGACGGTTGCTCGGCACTTTTTTTTACCGTAGTTTTATTTTAATATGATAATGAAAAATTTGTAATGCGTATTGATAACATAATGTATATAATATTATTAATACCTACAATATTACATTTTTTTCCGGATTGTGATCTATATATTGTAATATATTGTAGTTTGTTTTACTACTAGACTTTAGTAGGTACCTACTTATATATAATAATACGTTAAATTAATTTTTCCAAAAAAATTCAGTTTTGTCAGAAGCATATTTTAATATTTTGATTTTTAAGAAAGTTTTTAGTACCTACTATTGGGTTTTCAAAATGTTTAGTTATTTATAAAATTATTAATATTTCAAAACAAAAGCATCGGATAATACAGAAATAATGTTATTCTTTAAATTGTTATTAAGATTTTTAACAATTATTCCCAATTCACGAATCATGACCAATCCATTGATTATATTGTGTAGGACAGAAAAATATTGCACAATGACAATTTTGATGATGTCATGATCAATGATCAGTGATCGACGATCGAAAATATGTAGTTATGCGAGTTCGTTTAAGACGTCAAATACGCGTTTTTGTATCTGATATTTTTTTTTTATAAAGTTCATAAGCTATAAATTTTACCTAATATTTTACCTGTTGTTTCCTGAAATTCAAATTCAAATTATTAATATTAAATGTATTCAATTTTTTTTTAATTGTTTGTTTTTACATTTTTAGTGCATAATTTAATGTTTTTTAGGTCTACAAGTCCCGAATCCTGGTTATAATATCTTAATTTCAAAAATGTTATGACAATAAGTGAAATGCTGATTAGTTTTATCTATATATTATCTACATGTGTAACATGACGGAAAAAAATTATACTGGCCTCCAAAGTCTTAACAGTTACTTATTACTATAATAGGATATATCGTATTATATTATAATATGCATATACAATAGGAAAATGTACATTTATTTTTGTTAAAATATGCAGTAAAAATATAATTATATATAATATATTGCTACATAAATAGGGTAGAAATATAATAATATTTACAGTTAAATAGTTAATTTAATATTATAATAGCTGCAAACATATTATTGTGTAGGACGGTATATCGGGACATGGTGTTACTGTTAGCACTCAGAGTTCTGTGGGCATGTACTCTCATAAAGTATCATTATTTTACTTAATATTAAAAATGTAGTCATACATTTAAAAATAAATGTATTTTTACGAAAATTATATTTTACAGTCGAGAACGTGCGATAATTTTAAACCATAAACACGTTCAAGATGTCCAAAAAACTTTGTCCCGTTGATTTCGGGCAATCCGAAGACAATTCAATTTGTACAGTAAGTCGACAAAGTTGGGAGATATCAATAGTTTCATTTATTTTTTTATTTAAAATAAACATTTACATTCGATTTTTTTTTAGACGAACAACAAAAGAAAGAAACTGAGTTTATCGAAGGAGCTGTTAAGAGAATCCACGCAATTTAAACGTATGCTCATCACACAGAAGGAAAATTACGAAATCAGGTAAAATTCATATAATAATATTATTTGGCTTCTTTAAAATTGTAAAATCGCATCAAAGAGTTATGTTGCCACATGTTAGTCTTTGATCACGGATTTCCGTCCAGTTTAAGATGTTTACAAAATACCCATATAATAATCATTATTTATGTATTAATTTATACTTTTATTTAAATTATTTAAAATAGTCTGGAGTTCGCGATTAGTTTAAAATAAATATCAATTTAGCAGCTTTATTTTGGAATTTTAAATTTGACTGTCGAGCAATATTTGTATTAATATTCACTTATAATTCATAGAATAAGTGTAATTACAAAAGAAAAACATTTCATATAGAATATATATATTTTACCTATTATATTTAAATATAACTTCTAGCTGTAACAGATATTATACTTAAGGGAACTCCACCCCCGACATCCACAATATAATATAATGTTAATTTAATACTATGTTGTCATTGCCATTCAAACTTATATATGCACAACATACACAATTTTCGTTCAGTAGAACCAATGTTGTTACTTGATAGTATTTAGTTTTGATATTAGTGAGCTTTGACCTATAATAATATAATCAAATTTAAACGTAAAAACATTGTTTGTGACATTGCTTGACCTCTCGTTAGGGTAAATAAGTAATACGTTTAAAGAACATATTAACACAAATTGGACTTCAGTCAGGTCATCCATAGAAAACGTTTTTTTTCTTCAAATATTTGTATTTATATATTTTTAGATTCTGAGCGGAGCGATGAATGTATTGGTTTTACAATGATGTATGTTTTTATATTTATTTTTTTTGTGTCTGTGTACACGATAAGTAGTCGAAATAATGCTTCGATTTTCGACTTCAGTATCTTGTTCGATTGGAAAGTGAATATCGTTGGTGCATTGGGGAGGTCAAAATTTAAATTTCCCAGTAGTTTTCAAGAGCGCCGGGAAAAACAACATAAAAATTAAGGAAAAACGGGAATTTTTACGCAAAATCGGTTTTCCAAAAAATCGATTTTGGTTTTTGGTGTAACTTTAAAACAAATAACCGTAGATACATGAAATTTTCAGTGGTTGTTTATATTTGCATTTTCTATACACGATAACATTTTCAAAATATTTTGATTTATTTTGAACTGTTTAGGGACATTTTCATTTTTCATTTTTTTTTAGTTTATTTTCTAGAAATATCGATAAAATTTTATTTGTTGGTTAAAAAACTTGAAAATTTAATAGAAGGCTCCTACTGTATTGTTTCAAAGGCAAATGAAAAATATTAAAAATCGTTAGTCACAGTTTTTTTATAAGCATTTAAAGTTCAAAAATTGACAAAATATGGAAAAATCACGAAAATTAGCAAATTATTTTGAGTTAAGAATTCGTAAAAATTTTTCTTTTCAAATCTAAGATTTGAAAATGAAACACAAGATTCCTTATAAGATTATCTACCTTTATCAATAAAAAAATCTCCACCGGACAGTCAAATTAAATTTTTATGAGCGTTTGAAATTCAAATTTTTACAACATTGGATATTCACTCGATTACTCATGTAGCGATTTCTTTATTTTGTTGTAATTCAAAAACGAACAACTGTAGTTACATGAAAATTTCACTGAATGTTTAAATTAGCATTTTCTATACACCATACAATTTTGAAAATATTTTGACTCTTTTTGAGCTGTTTATGGACATTTACAGCTTTCAATTTTTTTTAGTTTTTTTTTCTATGAATATCAATAAAGTTTTATCTGTTGGGCCTGTAGTTTTTATAGCTAAGGATTGAAAATTTAAAACAAGATTCCACGTAAGTAGTTAATTATCTTACCGAAAAATCTAAAAAATATACAATCACAGTTTATTTTTATAGTCATTTTATGTTCAAATTTGGACGAAATTTCATATTAAAAAACCTAGTTATTTTGTTGTGATTATATAATATTATTCGTGGGTACGGGGTACCTACTTGAAACTTCTAAAGTGTATTATTTTATATCGATGATAGTATCAGGGTTTGTTATTGATGTTGATGTATAACGTGTTATAAGTACCTAATGGATATTGTGATAATGTGATATGATTAATTTGGAATTTATTATAGGTCAATTTTTTTTTAATACCATAGATTTGTATATAATTTATCTTAAACCTAGACTGACATACCGTCTTCTTATACAATGATATTATATCATTGAATTCAAATTTAATAGCATCCATTATACAGTGACCCACTTGTAACCTACTGTACAGCAGAGCGACATCCACTTACCCACCTTTTTTAATATTATAGGAATTACTTTTAAAAATAGTAGGTAATATATTATCAAACATTAATTCTAAGCAATTACGCGTAACACGTTACCCAATACTGCTAATCTATAGTGATTCAAAATGACTTAAAAATCGTATTATTTAAATATAATAAATTATTAATCGATATATATATTTTATAACATAAAAAGTAGATTGTAAAAACAATATAATATAGTGATTCGAACATTACTTTTTTCTGTCCCGAGAGTGCAATATTTGACACAATAATAAGTGCAGCAATTCAACCTTACCCGTACTAAAATTAGCTAAAACATTGGGCTCAAACGGCTTTTGGTAATTTTAGAGTAAAAAATGTACGCTCTTTTAAACCAGTGAGTCTTAGGGCGCACACACGGACCTTTAAAAATTGAGACTGTCTTCTGTGTTTTTCAGTTTTCTCGATCCCGCCAATGGCGAACAGCTGAAACTCATGTGCACCGACACGTTGTGCACCGGGCGCGTATTGCACGCGGGTGTTCAGACGCTGCAGTCGGCGATCGACCGAGAACGGTCGCACAGACGGGAATACGTGGACGGCCTGATGCGTTACATGCGTGAGCTGAACAAGCTGGACGAGGCCAAGGAGGTGCTGCTGGAAGGCCTTGAGCGGATGCGGGCCAGCGTGGACGGCACCGTGGACGCTCTCCGGGTGGACGTGGAACGAGCCCATCGCCAGTACGAGGAACGCAAGAAGCGGTTCTTCCGGTTCACCGGCGGCGCGGAAGCATCCGAAACGCAAGAGATGACCGCCACCGGCCGCGGGTTCCGGTCACTGTGCTTGGACGCGGCTGCCGGCGACGTCTCGCTATCCGCAGCCGCCTGCTGGTCCTGCGACATCGAAGCCGATGACGACGGTGGCTGGCTGGACGACATCGACGCCGACGACGACGCCGATGCCGCCATAACAATCTTCCGGCGGCTCCGTCGGGACGCCGAGGCTCGCAGTGGCGACAGCTGTCGGTTGCGGATTGACGAACTGCTGACGCTCTGGCGGGCCATCAAGTCCGTCACCGAGTATAACCGGACGCTTGAGACGGCTGTGTGCGAGCTCGAGGAACAGACGGATTCGCTGCAGACCAGCCTGTGCTGCACGACGGCCGTGTGCACGGCGCTGGACGCGGATCAGTCGGACAAGAAGTGCAGGGCGGTCGTGCTGGACGACTTTTGTGCAGTCACCGAACAGATCACGGCGCAGCAGATCAGGAACTTGGAGTTCGGCCGCATGCTGGCCGTCGACGAACAGCAGATCGGCGAGGAACTTCAAAAGATCGGACAGCTGAAGGCCAAGGTTGCCAGGTGTGTAACCCATATTACTGCCCATATTACTTTTTACGTTTGACGTAGGTATAATATCTACCGAGGCCCAACCAATATTTTGGTATAATATTGCTGGGTGACTCGAAAAGTCGGATTTAGGGTGTATTTTTATTATTTTAAACGGGAAAAACTCGCAGATTGAAAAAATAAATACGTTGTCGCGTAGAACAACTTAAGGGGATTCGATACCGTGATTTTCTGTTTTTGTCTAACACACGCGTGACATAGTATTTTAGACGTGTTTTTTCCAAACATTCCAATTGATCTATTGAAGCGATACGATTTCTGAAAACAGATTTGAATTTGTCGTCAAGTCTACTTGAAATCGACTTTCCCACATTTTTAATTTTTTGATTTTAACTTCTCCAAAAATTGAAATTATAGAATTTTTAAATACTCTTTTTGAATATGACATTTAAAAAATTTGGGGGATAATATCAAAAATGTGGGAAAGTCGATTTCAAGTAGACTTGACGACAAATTTAAATCTGTTTTCAGAATTCTTATCGCTTCATTAGATCAATTGGTATGTTTGGCAAAAAACACATCTAAAATACTATGTCGCGCGTGTGTTAGACAAAAACAGAAAATCAAGGTATCGAATCCCCTTAATACTTTCTATTAAGCCCAAAAATTGATTTATAGAATAAAAACTTGTTGTTTCAAGTAGCGCGTACCTAACTATAGTATTGGTAAGGTATTACTTTGTAATATAGGTCTATATAAAAAAAAAAAAAAAAATGTTTACAAATTATTTTAAATCATTTTTTGAAACAAAATAAAAATCAGAGGTGGATGAAAGTCTTCTTCCTGTCGGATAAAAAAACCCGTTATCAAAATACGAACATTTTACGAGATCCTGAGCTCTTTCGGGTTTTCCTGAAGCATTTTAGTTAATAATATAATACATCGTGCTAACCCAAAATAAATTTCTTCACATGGAACCAATTCGTACACAATGTAGAACTGAAATTATTTTTGAGTACCTACCTATCTTTTTGAGCTATTTAGACAGATTTTTTTTTAAATTTTTTCTTTCAAGTTTAAATGTCGATAAAATATTTTTTGCTTGGTCATGGCATTTGAAAATCAAGTACTAGGTTCTTCATATACCTACCATTTAACAAATATCGAAAATACAGTCACAATATTTTTTTATAAGCGTTTAAAGTTAGAATTTTGACAAAATTTATCACAATAATTGCGAAGATTTGTAAATTATTTTGTACTTAGTTTGAAATTCATAAAACTGTTCTCTTTTATATCTAAGATTCCAAAATAAAGTTCAAAATTCCTGATGAATTTTATTACCTATAAGAAAGCCAAAATAATTTTTTATGCTTGTTGAAGAACAATATTTTTATGTACTGAATATTTATCAGTAAATTAAGTATTCCTACTCAATTGATTTTTGATATTATGTTTTAGTTAAAAAACAAAAAAAAAACATAAATACTTAAAATATCACCAAATGTTTATTTTAACAAACATTATAATAATACAGTTTTTACTCAAGTTTTTTTTTATAGATATTTTAAGTTCAAATTGGTATGAAATTTAATGTTTAAACTAAGGATAACGATTTTAGTTATTTTGTTGTAATTTTAAAAGATTATTCGAGCAACTGCTTGTAACTTTTAAAGTATATTATAACATTTTATACACAACGACATTTTCAAATGCCTAATTCTATGTTTCGTCCAAGTTTAACAATTTATCTTGTTCTATCTTTTTTTATGTTCATACATTTAATTGTAAATATTTCAACTTTCAATTCATAGGAATAGACAGGATGAGGCAAGTTACTCAATTTATTATATCTGGTTACAAGTTACAGTTATATGTAACTAAGTTACATTTAAAGTTAAAAGTTATACTGGTAAATGTATAAAGAATTATTTACCGGCCAGGTAAAATTATGTTATGGTCATTATGTTAGGAAAAAAGAGAACCAATATATTATCATACAACCACTGAATATCCAGTGGCCAGATAAATTGTGAAAACCAAAATGAACGAATAAAAAAAAAAATCTTGATCATGTATTTTTAATATTTTTAAACTGGTACTTATTGTAACAATATGTGAGGGCCTTAGTGTCTTGTATTGCATTTTCAAGCATTTTGACCAACCAAATAAAATTGTATTTACATTTATTAAAAAGAAAAACTAAAAAAATTTAAAATTGAATATGTCCGTAAACAACTCGAAAAGAGTCAAAATAGTTTGAAATTTGTATCAAGTATAAAAATGATAAAATAAATTTATGGTATACATTTCAAGTATCTACGGTTTTAAGTTATTGAATAACAACAAAATAAGAAAATCGTTGTATGAGAATTTATTAATTTACAGTAATATATCTGATGTCTAACTTAACTTCCAATAATTTTAAAATATTTATTGACTTTCCGGTATAGACATTTTTTTTGTTGATAAAGGTAGACAAACTTATGAGAAATCTTGTATTAGTTTTTTTTTGTTTTGGCAGACCCACTAATGAATTATTTAAGCACAAAAAGAATAATGTAACTTGTAACTTTTATATAAAGTTACAGGAAAATTTGTAACTAGTGACAAGTTACAAAAGTAATTGAGTTATATATGTAACTATGATATGCCCAATCCTGGATATATATATGTATAGTCTATTCACAATGAGATCATTACTTGAAGGCGACCAGTTTTCGTCAAAGGTATTTTTTCTTTTTATCATAAATATTTTTATGCAAGTAACTTATTAGTGGGAAATAAAAGTATAGTAAAGTAATAGTATAGTATAGTAAATAATACTTTATTTGAAGTTTAAAATATCGTAGTATTTTCCCAATATTTTGGATAGTAAAACTCTTAACAATTATGTTTTTAGTCTTAATTTAATACATTTTTACGAATAGTATGATAGTTTGAGGTGGTGCTAATAATACTCATATTAATGACAAAAATTACTTAAAAATAAAATAAATTGTTTACACATAATTAAATATTTAATTAACCTTTTGAATAGGTAACATACAAAATTATAATTTTTTTTTAAGCAATGACCAGCATCCTTCATTGGATTGAATTTTCTTAAATTAAAATTATTAATTTACATTATTTATCTAATGCTGTTTCCAATATCATATTTTAGGCTCTATAAAATGTATTTAAATATATAATTTGATACAAATATTTAGCACCTGCTCAAACGCTTTACAATATTAGGTACATGCTTTTATTGTTGTAATTTTTTTACAGGAAAAAGGAGAAAAAGCAAAAGCTTCTCGAGCAAACAGACAGTGTGAAAAGTCAACTGGAAGTGTACAAAAGTCGTTATGAAGAACTAAACAGGAAAAGAGCTCTTCTTGACGACAATCTAAACATGACGAAACGTTCACCTAGCAAATTAGCGAATCAATCCGAGCAACAAGGTTTTGGACAAAGAGTGAAACATTTGGAACAACTCAAAAACCAATACAACAAACTGGCTAATGTAAATTCGTTATATATTTGATATAATTTTTTATATATATAATACTATTATAACCAACGACATGCATTGTCTTTTGATGTAAAAACGTAGGTAATGTTGACTAATGGTGACTAATACACCATTAATTGTAATGTTGTACATATTATTTGTAATTTATTATTTAATTTAAATTAATTGTAGAAAATTCAGCCTACCTAAAAGTTTAATTATTTCACAACAGTGTCAACCCTCATAAGTTAATATTTATACAAGACTTTTATAATTTATTTGTCACCACAATAGTTAACTAAATATTTTGAGAAATTATACTAAAGTAATATTACTATCAATTATAATAGATTGATATTAAAACATATTCTTTTTCTTCGATATTTAAATTCACGTGTAAAATGAACAACTTTTCAACCACCCATCAACTCATGCAAAAAATGAATATTAATTTAAGCAAATTAATTTTTTTTTTGTATAAACATACAATAATGCAGTCATCATGATAACATTACAATAATATATTACTAATGCGTTGACGTGATTTTTCAGACAAGAGATGCATTAAAACTGAAAATTCAAAGTCAACAACAGGTGGTCAAGACACCTCGTCGGATAAATACGTTTTGCAATACTTAGCCATACTCTTTTCACAGTTTGTTTGATTAATATACCGATTTCACAAATATTCTTGTATGTTTAGGTGTCTCAAAAGCTTTCTTTTCTATTAAAACCAAGCTTAGCTTAATTACAATTTTACTCGTTAACATAATATAATTTTACCTTTTTTTTTATTTAGATTATAACATTCTATTTAATTTACTGTCCAAAGAAATTATTTTAATTTTTTAAAAATTAGTTAACTTTAGATTATAATAGGAGCATAATAGATTATTTAAAAAAAAATTATACATCGAAGCAAAAAATGTTTATTTTAAGTTCATCTTGATAATAATACTATTACATAAACATAAACGTTTGCTTTTTGTTCCATTGTCCATAAACTATTGTTATTATCATGATTATTTTATAATTATTATTATTAATATATATTATGCGCAAGCACATTACATATGTTACATATACTTATTACTATTACAAATTGTATAATAGTTTAAATTTACATTACAATCAATGTCTAATATATGTAGTTAACATAATATTAAGTAAACATAATATTAAGTAAACACAACAAATGAAGATCTTATAATACTTATAAATATTACTAAATACGCATCAAGCACATCATATGCAAATAACAGTATCGTAGAATAATGTTGTTAAAATTCTGTTTCAATCATTACAATACAGGATAAGTCGTCCACTTAAAATGATACAATTTAAATACTATGAAAAAAAAAAAAAAAAATATAATAATATAATTTAGACTAAAAAAAAATTGTGTAAAACGTTTAATAATACAATCACAGAGTAAATAATGTATTCCATAGCCATTGGTACACATTATTTTAATGGGGGTATTCAAAAATTATCTTAAGAATGCCTTTGTTTCGTTATAATATGTTATATTTCAATGTTATTTCTGCTAAATGCATATCAGGTTTAACAATTGCAATACTAATAATATAACTACTATATAAATATTTTATTTGACATTTATAATATGACAAAGTTAAATATAAATTAATTAATGTTGTACCTAAACATATAATGTTATTTTGTTACTGTTTAAAAGTAAGCAACAAATCTCAAATTTTTATGTATACTAAATTAAAACAAATCAACCAATTGGTAAAATTATTTTAATCTTACACGCACCAAAAAATAAAATAAATAAATCATCAGATGCAATTTATTCATTTTAGGTAAAAGGCATCAATTACATTAACTTGTATCATTTGTAATAATAATAATAATAATAATAATAAATGATGTTTATAAATGCTTATAATATACTACAGTAATAATTTATTAAAATTTGTTTTTAATTGCTTTCTAACTAATTTTTTTAAGCTTACGATAAAAAATATTTATTGAGCTTATTGTAATAACAATTGATATATTATACCACTTCAATTTTTTTATTTTATAAAAAATATAGCAATACAAAATACATTAATAGGACATTTGCTCCCAGTAACAGTTGTTTAAAACCTATTTTGTATTTAGTTACACTTAAGCAGTGGCGTATATAATAATAATTTTTTGGGGTGGGCTATAGAAGACAGAAACTAGCAAGTGATCTATTACTTAGAGGCTACTGTTTACTATATATTTAACAGTTTCTATAAATATATTCGTACAGTAGATTCTCGTTATGTTGAATCTCAAGGGGAGCAGAAAAAAGTTTGAGATATCGAGTTTTATTAAAAAATAAAAAAAACTAATATAAATGTATGTTGTATAGTTTATATGAACAATAAATAATACGAATGCCTAAAATACATAATTTGAATAATAAAAAAACAAATATAAATGTATGTTGTATAATGTATATGAATAATAAATAATACGAATGACTAAAATAGACTAAAATTTGAATAATTAAAATACTAAAATGACAATTCCTATGTTAACCGTAACAAAAATATTCTTTGTGAACTCAAGATAACGAGAGCAAAACACTATTAAGTGTAATAGTAGTTTCAAGGGGAATTCAAAGTAGTTCAAGATAACGAAAAATTCGAGATAGCGACATTCGACATATTAAGAATCTACTGTATTTATTATTTTTCAACAGGCTATGAAATATTATAACTTGTAATAGTACCTAATAAAATATATTGTTGTTCGATTTCAAAAGGCTGTAATTTCGGGGGGGGGGGGCTGCAGCCCACTGTGCCCATCCCCTTTATACGCCATTGCACTTAAGTTATAATATATTTATTTACTTATAATTATTTGATTTGGATACTTATTGGTAAGTTAGTTTTAAGTTAATGATAATCACCAATTTTTTTAAGAAAATATTAATACAGTGGATTAATTTAAATTAAGTTTTTTAGGTTGATGGCTGGTAGGTGGGTAGGAAGAAGTAAAATATTTTACTATCAGTTATTGGGTGAGAGCAAAAAGTCCTAAATTCAGATGACGATTATTATTTTTGTTAAATATGATAAAGTTGGTATGCTAAGAAATTTAATATTAAAAAATAAAGCTTTATGATTTTGTGTGTTTTGTACTATGTATAGAATAGTTTAGGAACAGTGTGCAATATATTAACTATTAGGATTTACTTGATAAATGGAAATAACATTAAACATTGTTTTCAGACTTGTTGGAAGAAAATATTAGTTTTAATTATAACTGATTTCTATAATCAAACATTTTTTATATCACAACATTAAAACGTTTGGTCGAATTATTATAGTAAGTAGTGCAATAAAACATCATACAAGTGGTTTTGCAAAAAATAAAAATACAATTTTTTTCTTGCGTGTATTACAATTCCCATCCGAGGCATCCAAGGAGTTTATCACAACTCTTTGGACCAGTAAAATATAATTTCAAATTACATAAATATTTTAGTGTAGTATTTGATTGAGCAATTAATTTACCATTTCGTTGTTTAATATAAATACAAAAAACTATATATTCAAATATAAAACTTATTATGTTACATTACAATAATTTATTGCTTCAATTTACTCATATTTCTATAACGAAAAAAAACCAACTAACACAATATTTTAGAAAAAGAACAATAAAATAATAAGTGTTAAATTATTAATTCGAGATATTAACCAGATGAGTATAGCGTTACAAAAGATTCAAGTAATAGAATTATTAAATTTGCAACTAGATATGTAAATAAAAACCTTTCATCAGTAAATTACATTTGAAATAATTAAATTGACTAAACTGATAAAATGAATACATTTAATTCCTTTAAACATTTTATTGTACAACTAAGGGCCGCTTTCACCAAATACTTTAAACTTCGATTACGCTTAATCGACTGATAACCAGTGTTGGGTAGTAACGTAACGAAAGTAACGCGTTACTGTAACGGCGTTACTTTGCTTGTAACGCGTTACGTAATTTTATTAAAATTATTTCCAAGTAACGAAAATGTAATGGAAATTACTTTTGAAAAGTAATTTCTATAAAATAACGCCTTACAGTTTCAAATTATTAAGTACCAACCTACCTATTGCGAATTGAAAACAAAATATACGTATAAAGCTGGTATTATTATGTTCGCCAATCTAATATGTATATATATTTAATCTTAACTCTCCACAATTCATTGTTCAATGGTTTTGACATTTTAAATGTCCAATTGCACCTAAATCAAGAGAACAGTTAATTGCCATCAGAAAATAATTGCCAAGAAATTTAAAATTTCTTTTTTGTAACGAGAAAGTAATGAGTTACTTTTCTATTTGAAAAGTAAGTAATTTCATTACAATTTTATTTGAGTAACGAGTTAAGTAACTTAATTACATTTATCTCTTAGTAAAGAGTAAAGTAACTTGATTACTTTTTAAAAGTAACTTACCCAACACTACTGATAACAGATATTTAACCGGGCAAATTCGGCCGATTAAACCCCGGTTTAACTTTAATCGGAGTTTAAAGTAGTGGTGAAAGCGGCCCTAATTGTTTGAGAGTTACCTAATTGAGAAGATTAGGTATGGAGGTATCATAGCAAGAGGATCTGTGATTTTTAACAGTTTCCCTATTACAGCTAACACGGGAAATCAGCATGGCCCATAAATATGTGTGACATAATATTTTGTATTGTTGGACTTTAGTAAGTTGATCTTTATGGTATTTCATTTTTATTATTTCAGTATAAATATTATTTATTAAAATACACAATCATTAAAAATAAAATGACAACAAAATAAATATTGTTAAATATGCCAATAAAATAAATTACATAATACACATTACATATAATAATACTTAAGATACTTCACGCAATGGGTAACATATGACATAATAGTGACAAACAACTAAAAGTTTAAGAAAAAAAAGGAATTCCTAAATAAAAACTTTGGCAATCACATACAAACAATGATTTGGTTCTGAGAAAATCGTTGTTTGAAATGTTTAAAAAAAATTAAAAAAAACATTTAGCAGTCTGTCATGCGTCTTTGTATTTAAAACAAATTAAAAAAATGAACGCTTATTGCTACATGATACTTATAAAACGTTTACTTTACGTTATTTTAACGGTTATATTTTTAGATTTAAACTTTATGAGAAACACCATTAAAAATTAATAATTAGAGAATAACGAGCCCAAGGATCGTTAATATAAAAACTAATACAGACAGCCAACAATGTAGAATTAAATTTTATCAATGGAAAAAAAAACTAAAATTCATGAGTTGCAATAATTATGTATATATGTTATTACATAACACAAATTCTGATTCTTAATAAGTATAACTAAACAACAAATTTTCTCAGCTATCGAAATTATTAAACGTAAAATACAGAGGTTTTTATATATACATAATCAGTCATTGCGAGTAACACATTGAAAATAATAATACACTTACAACCTACGCAAATCAATTAAAACAGTTGATGGGAACCAACCTTTTAAAAATGGTTCTTAAACCGTGAACTAATTGGTGTTCAATAAACCTAACTGTGATTTTATTTAACATTTTCGTTGTAATTATTTATGTATATATGATATATATGTACATAATACCTTGTGA